CTGTCTGGCTGAGAGGGCAACTTCAAAGGATCTCAAATTAACTTATATGTGCAGTGCTGGAAACATAAGAATGGAAGACAAAAACACTGCAAATGAACCTCCTGCTGTGACAAGGGCAAAGGCCGCATGACTGCAGAATAAACCAGTGAATCACACAAAAAGGTAAGAGCTTGTAAGAATGTCTTAGTATAGAATAAGGCCCACTATTGCATATGTTAGAATGTAAGGCTACAATACATTTTCTGTCATTTCTTTCAGTGCCAAAGCGCCTTAATGAATGGTCAGCCGATGATAAAACAAAATGCACTGCAAAGAAATAACATAGCACAATTCAAAATGGAAACACCCTGTAACATACAGTGGATTCCAGGTCATCACTGCAAAGGAGAATTTGTTCTCAAATGCACTATCTGGTAAACTAAAAGAATAAAACAAAAAAGTTTCTCAAACAATATTTAAGATAAGGCCTTCTGTCTGGTGTTCTGGAATAACCCCAGTTTATTACCAGGTGAATGCTTTTTTGGAGTGGCTCTTCACCATCAATATGCGTATAGTCCAATCGATAGAAAGCATGCATAGAACTGTAACCATCCTCATGCTCCATAAGACATCCTAATAGCTTGTTCATTTCCCCCTCGCTGTTCTGGCTCAAGAAATCCCTATAAAGACTGATCATGGGAAGGAATCTTGGGAGAAAATAACACGGGTCACCAAATCTGAAGACCCCACTCATTTTTATAAAGTGAGCACCAAGAAACACATCGCTCTACGCAAAGAAATTCTCAGAAGGACAAAGGATTTCACTGGATTTTAGATCATTTGTGTCAGGTGGCATGTTTGATTAATTCATCATTCATGGCTGGCCGTTACATATTTATTATACTCCAACAGCTTCATGCTATTGGCATGTTGGAGCAACACCTCAGGTGAACTCGCCAGCAGTCTTCTGTAGCAAAGAGACATGGTTTTGGGGACACTCTGATGGATGTTGCCGAGTGTGTCATTGCCATGCAGAAATGTGTGCTCACTGGCATGTATAACAAAGTCCCATATGTGGTGGTGTGGGGAGGAGAGCCCAGTTTCTACAAAACTCCACACGCAGTGATTGATGGCCGCCTGACCGCACAGAGCTTCACTGATCGAGTCCTGGACCCTCACTGGCTGCCCTGCCTGCAGGCTCATCCTGACACCGTGACATCCCAGCAGGACAGCGCAGCTTGTATAACAAGGGATTTCTCGCAAAACAAAAACGCTGCCTTTAGCCCATGGAGGCCCTACATGGCAGGCCTGAGCCACTGTGAACATTTGAAGGAGGAACTGGGGTTGACACGTGGTATCTAAGGCTTGGAGATCAGTTTTGAGCAAAGAATCAAGGTTTTGGGGACACTGCTGGAGGTCACAGAGACACGACACGCATGCTTCTAAACTGGGACTTTCAAAGTACAACCCCCTGCTGATGACCGGTTTATTCAGTGCAATGGATGTACTTAGGCAATGTCAATACAATATCAGCACACCTGTTACAAAGAAGTGTCATCTTTCTGGCATTAAAAACAAGATCATGACCAGTGTGACACAGTGTGCTGTGGTTGGTATTGCTGCCTCGCAGTGTTGGGGCCCTGGATTCAATTCTTGGGGTGCTGTCTGTGAGGAGTTGGCTGAGTGTTCACATGGGTTTCCCCCACAGTCCAAAATCATACAGGTCGGTTAACTGGCTCCTGTAAAAACCGTTCCTTGTGTGTGTGTGTGTGTGTGTGTGTGTTCCCTGCGATGAACCGAGGTCCCATCCAGGATGTATCCCACCCTGCACCTGTTCAGCTCATGCTCTACCCAGGACCCTGTACCGGACAAAGCGGATTAGAAAATTGATCAATTGTGACCAAAAACATCCCCAACTCGTTTATTAATTTGAGGCACCCCTAGGTTTATTAAAAGCCGTCCATGAAGACAATGCCTGCAGATGTAACCTGACTGAACTGTGGAGGCTGTGTGTGTGATTTGTGTAGAGGGGGATGTCTCATCACAGGCACAGTTAAGAGAGAATGTGAAAATATCCACAGGGTGGTTTACAACACAGAAACTCCCTCTGCAAGCCAGGCGATCTCCGGAATGCATTAATGTCTTTTTAGATTTCAAGTAAACGAAAAACATTTCACCTACATTGTGAAGCTATATGATGCAGAACCATGAAAACCTCACCCTTTTGATAATGTAGCCAAAAGCATCCTTTTATATCTCACAAAAAATAAATAAATAAGTGAGAAAGGGGTAAAAAAGTAGAGACGTGAATTTGGAAAACAATTCCATGTTACCACACATGGGTAACATAAGAACTGCTGCAAAACTACCAATAAAACTGCAGACGGACATGGTTTTCACTCACTGAGCTACCATGAGCTTTTTCAGGATCCTTTAATGGATACTTTCTCCTACGTGCCTGTAAGACAGAAGACTTGCAGCTCAAAGCCTGTTGTGATTTTCAATTAAAAATCGCTTAAATTAAAATGTACCTGATTTTCAGGAGAGGATATCAGAATTGGTATCTTGATACTCATCCTCCATGTTTATGCCCCCAATTCCAAACCCTAGGAATCCCTATAAACTCCCAGAGGAATTACCTTCTGCCTCATTTTATTGCTTTGCAGGCACAGTGTGCTAATGCCATCCCTAGTCCAAATACATCCCTTTGTACTATACTCCAACACAGCCTGCGATTCTACACAAGCGCAGCTCATTTCAGACCCAAGCCTTTCATCAGCCCCCCGACACAAAGAACCCAAGGCCCACCAGCATACTGGCAGTCTCTGCCTTTTAAAAAGATTCTCTTACTGTAATTTGGGATGTTTTTTAAGTCAAGCCCCAATACCACTCCCATTCACCCTTTATTGTAAACGCACACAAAGATGACGTTTTCAGCCCTTATATGAATGCTGTTAGGAGCTTCCAAGACCTAAAGTTCCATTTTTTTTTTATTTAACGAGGTTTTGCTGTCTTTCAAACAACGCAATGCTTCAGATTGGCTGTGACTGTAAACATAGCAAACGCACACAATACAGCCGCTTTCTTGCATATTTGATCGCCCCCAGGGAACGTCTAATTGTTTTTCTGTACTTGTCGGATGCGTGTCAATCTTTCCCCCCCCCCCATAAGACAATTCATTACTTCAAGTCAGTGTTCTGTTATTAGCAGCAATCCCTGCAATACTGACCAAACATTATCAGCGATTCAATTCACACCAGCCGAGACATTCTCTGACGATTTCAAAATGATCACCTTTAAATATTACACATGGTGTCAGAATACCATCCTTTCTCTGTAACTCATTCTGTCCACAATATATAGTATATTCTTATTGGGGTATGTAATTTTTGAATCGTTACTAACGGGTTTTAAGGATTTAGCCCCAGAGTTGTTTTGGTCGGAGGAAAGCTCCAGAAAAGGTTTTTCGCAACTGTACGGGATGCAATGTAATAATTAAGTGGACAAATTGTCTAAAACAGCAATTCTACAAACTGGCTACACGTCTCTTTCCGTCCAGTCAATGTAGATCAGGAGTAATTTAAAACCTGACACAAGAAAACGTGTTGCTTTAATCAACGAAGAATGTCCAGCATCGGTTACAATGCTTATTCCGTCGCTGCTTAATTCAATTCTCCCCTCTAGCTTCCGATATTCAGACTGGACCGCTCAATAAGATGTACTATCACGGTCCCTACAGTATTTGTTCGGACACTGAATAGATTAAGGTGACGGGTTAAAGGTCAATTTTTAAAAACCCTTGCGAAACTGCAAGACTTTTCCAAACGATTTGATTATTTTTTTTAATTTTCCAATTTCACATTGTTATTGATAACCAATTCCGTATTCAATAAGCCCCTGCCTGAGGATGAATCGATACCCCAATCCTACACAATAGACACCTATTTTCCGTCCGCCACCAGTATTTACATACGTCTCCCAGGTTAGCGATCACTACTGAACAAACATACCTGCAGAGACACATTTGTCGAACACCTTGTTTCCTTAATGCAATTGATTTCGATACCATATCTCCCCAATGTTATTTCTCAATACCCTGTTCCTCTCTGCACAGTTAAACCAAGATCTTCCAGGCGCTGGACGCGAATCGTAGACACACTACAGTGAATGCAGATTATGTAGTAGCTTTCAATGATACTCATCATCATTACAACAATTAAAAGACGAGCGAAGCCTTCACACAGTCATCTCCGTAAATTGCCACGACGTATTTTCTCTAATTCTCTACAACTCTTAAAATTAAATTCCTGAAATCCCCTAGCAGCCTCCTGTAAAATATCCTACTACTGCGTGCGTCGCTTTCACGGGGGAGAGCGAACACCTTCGGTGTTTAAAAAATTTCCAGGACACTGAAATACGGAATGTTTAACTTGGCGTTTCAGTTACGGATTTATTTTCGCCCAACACCAACTCCACATTGCCCTTTCCTCGCCCAGCGGCTCATTCGGACCATCCCGGGTTCCCTCTCCAGATACTGCAATTCCAAAAAACAATCATTCCCAAACCTCGCAACTTACAAGCCGGCGCACCACAATCCGATGCCGCCACTTGCATTTAAAAAAAAAAAATTCAAAGAAGCCACTTAAGTCCGGCTCCCAAAATGCCTCAACACCAACACTCCCGAGACTCGGGGAGTCGTCCTCCCGGTAGCGAAGGAACCCATTAACGACGCACAGAAGCCCCCCAAAACTGTTGAGTGGGTCGCACGGAGTGATCCGCTGTGCAGCGGCAGCGGAGCCACAGGCAGCGCGTGCGGGACCCGGCGCGAGCGACTGTTGCCGCTGCCGCTGCTGCTGCATTCCACTACTTCACCGCGCGCTGGGCTGCCCGCACGAGCCGCACGCGCTCCGGTCGTCCCCCCCGGCCACGGCCCGCCGCGCGCCCGGGCTGTAAACTTCCCGACTCCGCGGGGGCAGAGAGAGAAGGAGAGAGAAACACACCGGTGCGCGTCCGCGACTCACCTTTCTCGGCGTGCCTCGCCACGGCGGCCGAGCGCAGGAAGGTGAGACAGGAGAGAGAGAGGAGCAACCGGGCTCCCCACTCCGCCATCACTTTTCCGAAAATGTTTATGATAGCGAACACCACGGGGGCAAATCCGCGTTTTAATCCTCTTCTTCAGCCTACCCCCCTCTCCTCCTCCTCCCCTCTCTCCAGCTCCGGAGCAAGCGAAGGGATTCCCGGCGGTTTCACGCTACTGGTGTGAAGAAAACCATTCGGGATCAGCTCGGCTGGAAACTGTCCGGCAGGAACATGTAGTGGCAGAAGTGGGGAGAGATGGAACGGCAGCGACTGGGAGTCGGGTTGTTTTCTTGAACTTAGAGGGGCGAGAACGAAGCCTGCACTCAATCCATAGCCGCGGGGAAGCCGCACTCGTGAAGAATTGCATCGATGATAGAAGAAAAAGGGCGGAAAAAAAAGAAACCCGAAAAAAAAAGGGGGGAGTGAAGAGGGAATCCGGGGCACAAGCACAGGAGGGGGAAAAAAAACAACCACTTGACCAAATCCGATCCGCCGCGGAGAGCGCAGCCGCCTCTACTGCTTCCACGACTGAGAGACAGCGGCGGCGTGGAGGGCTGGAGCTGGGTGTGGGCTCGCCGGAAAACAGGGGCCGGAGCGCCGGGACACTCGGGATCGCGGACTCGCAAGGTGAGCGAGTGGAAAACCCCGGCGTGGAGCCTACCGGAAGGCCACGCGTCGGAGCTTTTGTTCCACTCGTGTGCGTCAGGCGGGCAGAGCGCGGAGTCTGCCAGCCTCACACGTCTTTACAGGTCTTCTGCGGGGCTACGTTTCACAAGAAAGCATCCCATGGGGTACTATCCGCGACGCTCACTCGTTTCAGTGTTTCCCGTTGATCGTGGAATATCCACAAAACACGTGGAATGGTCTTGCTCCATTGTTACTGTCAGTTGTATGGCCGAATTAAAATCTATATTTTTTTAGAGACGCACATAACCCGGTGCGCCTAAAAATGTTCTACACGTGATTTCGCGTGCTGTTGTTTGCGTTTCATTCAATTGAGCGTGCAAGAAGAAAGCTCGTCCGGAGGAGGCCTGTTTTTAATGTTTTCGGCTCTTTTCACATCTTATAAGAATGCTGGAGACGGCCAAGAGATCAGAGCAGGAAGATTGGTATCGGAAAGACACGGAGTGCCTCGCTGTCAGACAGGCGCTTCGCTAAAAGAGGGTAACACTGCCACCACACGACTGCTGCGCCGACAGCACCCCCGACAAGTCCAAGAAGGGCGCCTCCGGGTCGCTTTTCAGGGTTTGTGTGAGGTTCCTATTAGCCGCCGGCCTCACTGAGATTTTGACTGAGATTGGGGAATAGTTTTCCTGGTGTCATCAATTCCTTGCAAACCTTTCAACCAGACCACCGACGCCCACTGTCAACGCACCTCGATTCATATTCGCGGACCTGAGCGCCTCGGCTCATTTCAGTGTCGACTGCATGTAATCGACCCCCCCTCGCCGGGCTACTGGGCTTTGCGTGTTGCTAGAGGTCCCAAGAAAAGCAAAGAACAACAACAACAAAACATATGTGATTTTTCAGAACAAAAAAAAACTTAATGATAAACACAATCTTTCAGGGGGATTTTGGACACGTCCCTCTATCTGGATTTCGTGGAGTTTCACCCCATGGCCAACACCATGCCGTTTTTACAAGCGAAACCCAACAGTTTCGGTCCAGCACTGCTCGTGAAAGACATAACGATCACCCCCCGACTGAATTGCGCACCGTTCGATCATTAATTGTCAGAGACGGGTAATAAGTTTGGTCAAGTGTTTCTACCGGAAAATGGTGATTCCACAGAGAGACGACGTGAACATCCATGAAAGAGAAGGATTTATTGTGGAATTGTGCACACAGCCCCAGACGTCTGGATTTAAAAGCGGGGCTGTTGAATTGGTGTCGCGGACTCTGTCGGACTGGCTTTTATGCCAGAGCTCAGAGACGCGCACAGTCCGGTATGACACCATGCAGGCCGAGTGGAGGAAACCGTCATTTTAAACATTTATGCTACGGTACTCTGATTTCATTATTCATTCGCTTTAATTCCAACACTTGATCTACGCATTTATTTAATAACTGCGTGCTTCATGTGGCACTCTCTTTGAAGTCTGTCCGACCTATTAAACAACAACAAAAAATCTCGTCTTAAACAAATGAACTCAAGACGGTTTAACATTTTACACTGGTTTTAACCATCAAGTGTCTATACCTGTATCCACTTATACGTTTTAATTATATATGAACAATCTTCAGTTTGGATTATCCGAGTCTTGTCCTGAAAGCATTACAAATCAAATTATGGGTGCATCGATTGTATTTTTATATTGATTTTTACCTGGCCAAAAATGCCACTATTAATTATCTTCTAAGCACTGTATATGTTTAACAACATATATACTTTAGCTTAATTAGTGAATAAAGAATTACGTTGTAATAATTTATTCAATTTGAGCTTAAATCTAAATAAGCCTTTACGTTTATGTCTAAAATTTCAATTCGGAACAAAGCAAACTAAGAAATCTTCCTTGCCTGAAAGTCATTCGTACCAAAGGTATCCAAATAAAAAAATGAAAATGAATGTATTTCGAAATTAAATTAAATTTTCAAATCTTATTGACATTAAATCAATTATATTTGATACATCATGGTCTTTTAAATACATTAATTCATATTAATAACAAATTAACTATTTTAACCAATATTAAAACCAATTTCTTAACTTAAACGCTGTTCAAAAATACAACCTAATTTGAACGTTTACACTTTAACTATTAGAAGGTATATAACAAAGCACAACGATTATTCAATTTCTGCTTCAAAGTGACTATGTTACACCATAAAAGTAATCAGTCCTCAACAGGTAGAAATTCTACAAGAAAACATCTATTTTCAACAGATTGTATCATTCCCTTGTTTCAACCCTGGTTCAGAATCACCTGCAATGTGCCATTTCCTATTACAGCACAGTATGGTGTTCATTGTCATAGGGAACAGTGCCACCTGCTGGTTCATCTGTACAGGCAGTTGTTTTACAGCAGGGGTTCCCAATCGTGGTCCTGGGAACCCAGTCACCTGCTGTTTTTTTTGTTTTTTCCACCTGGGCAGTCAATTAATTGAGCAGCATTGTGGAGCAGTTGGTTCGAATCACAGGCAAGACACTGCTGTTGTATCTTTCCTCTGAGCTGCTCTGGTAAAATACCCCCCAGAACAAATGGGGGCGGGTGTAAGTTGCTTTGGATAAAAGTGTCAGTCAAATAAATTAGTAAGTGAACCCTTAATAGACCAAATAAAAGGTTTAATGTGAACTCGCTGGCTGTGTTCAGTCCCTAAACCTGTTGGAACCTGCCTATTCACCCATTGCATTTCAAATGTAAGAGCTCCAGCCTCCAAGGAGAAGGAAAAAAAGGTTCCAAACAAGAGATCTGGTGCTTCAGTTCAAGATGCATTTAACTCAATAACTCGGCTGCAATGAAAACCAGGGGGTGGATGTGACCTCAGGACCAGGATTAGGAATCCCTGCTCTACAGGCTCTCTCTGCAACCAGCTCCGACCTTCTTTCATTTCGCAATATTATTTCATTGTTAATTGTGTCAGATGTTTGCTGTTCCGGTGTCGTGTGTTGCAATCACTGACCTCACTTGTTGTATATTGCTGTATAACATACTGTCTGAAGCAGTTCAGGTGGGGAGCATGCGTAGGCTGCAAAGGAACAAGTAACAGGTTTATTCCCTGCTGGAAAGAGAAGAAAGAAAACACAACGTTTCGGCTGTGGAGCCTTCTTCACGTGTCTGTTGCATTTTGTTGAATTCTAAATATTTTCATGTTTTAAATGTAATTCCCCTTGGATAAAGTCATCAGCTAATTAACAACAATGACAGTAATAATAATAATAAGGAACAAGTAATAGGTTTATTTCATGCTGAAAAGAGAAGAAAGGAAACATATTTCAGCTGTGGAGTTTTCTTCGGTTGACACCCGTTGACATCTTTTCAGCAGGGAATAAACCTTTACTTGTTCATTTGCAGCCTACGCATGCTGATGCAGCCATCTACTTGAACTACTTACTATTACTAGTAATAATAATAATAATAATAATAATAATAATAATAATAATAGTATTAATAATCTTTCAATCTTAAAGTGGAGGATGCAGTCAGAAGAGGAGTTCCCCTTCCAGTTTCCTCAGAAAAGTAACATTTATTTTCAAAACCTCTTGTGTTGTGTCCAGCCATTGTTCAGTGTTTCAGCTCAGACGTAGACTGAGGTTAAGCACTGACTCGGGGCCAGTGTACAGAGCTGTTACTGGCCACTTCCAGGCTGTATATCCCAGTGTCAAAATTTGGTTTTAGGTGATACGGTTGAGTAAGAGTGTGAGTGAAAGTAAGAACTGTGATAAGTATTCCTCCAAAATGTCACAAGTTCCTGATAAAAAAAAGGATGTTGACTTTACCAGGCCAAGAATAAATCACTCTGCGACAAACAGGAGTATAATAACGTTCCTAGAATCCGTGTTCCTAGTTTATAAAATAGAGCAGATGTTTTTTTTCTCTACTTTTTGTTTAACAAAAAAGCTCTATGACACTTTTGGGGGGGAATGACTTTCAGAATTCCACCAGAAGGCCTGTTCATGTGACTGTTTTGTTAAGCTAAAAGTACAGTCCTGTAATTAATTAGCAGCTCAAAAATGGAAACTCAGGAAGAAAAGAGAATGATTTAGCTGATGGGATCCCCTGAGGTTTGCCTGTTAGAACCTGTTCTGGTACAAGATAAGTGTTTATTAAGACATTTTAACAGTGAGGAAACTGCAGTATCTTTTTTTTTTCACAGGTACGTCTGTGTGTCAGGAGAAAACAGTGTCATTGTAAGGGAAAATCAGCAACAAAATATTCTTGATTGTGACCGAAAACTAAACACAAAATAAATTTAAACAGAAGAAACAAAATGAAATTAAAATAAATAAAAATAGAAAATCCAAAACTAAAAGAAAAATGAAATTGGACAAAACCTACTGTAGCAAACTTATCTGCAGAATATGCTCCGCATTGGCTGCCTGTCCTTATACTGCAACAAGGCTATCAGTCCTGTTCCATAGGACACAGCCTCTCCAGAGAGAATTTGTTGGGCAGTTTAGTTCACTTGCTAATGATCCTTGAAGGGTTGGAGGAAGTTAACCCAAACCGCTGCTTCAGGCCCAACAAGATTTTAAGATTTAAAAAAAATAATTTAAGATCACTTTTTTGGCCATATACGATTTCTTGCATTAGGAATTTGTCTTTTCACAGACCCCAGCTTGCTCTCCATGAGACACACAGGCGGGGAGAGAGAAGCTTGGGGTCAGAGCGCAGAGTCAGACACAGACATAGATTAGGTAGAGATGCATTTAAGGTAGGCCCATTGCATTTCTTTATACTGTTTCTGAGAGAATGAAACAAAATACCTCTTATAGATATACCATACATATTGTCTAAGCTAAATCACAAGTATCATTCAAGAGTCTTGTAATGATGTCTTCAGATAAACAAGCAAACAGAGATGAAAGGGAACTTGAAGGACTTCCTTGTGATTTTTGTAAATTCTTCTTATTAAACGGAATTCCATTCCCAGAACCAATTCATCCCTGACTGCTTAACTTAACTCTTGAGAAGCTCTGTTCTAAAATAGTGTCATGTTGCCTATAACTTTATTTGAGATTACTGAGCCCGGACCCATGTCCTTAATTTGCAAACAGACCTCAACTACCCTGCCATACGTCCTACACAGGGAATTGGTGAACACACAGCGGTGTTAATGAACATACATAATGTAAGTGATAACTGCAGCATGCTTTTATGACTATGAGTTTACATTCATAGCCATTGAGTAAATTACTCCTAGCAATACACATTCCTTCCTCTATGCCAAGACATCACACCTTAGAGTGGTTTCAATTATTTTCCCTGCATCTCCACCTGGGCTCACGATTAGTTGAATTTTGTAAAGAACAATACACAGTTTTGATGCTAAGACATTTAGCCAGATCAGATGTTGTCTTATCATCTTCTAATTTGTTTTCAACCAGTTTTAAAACACGGGCTCCTCTTTCCTCTAGACAGTTGAGCCCTGTTGATGTGCTCAATGAGTAGCCACTGTCTGTAAGCAAAGCTCTCCCTTTGTGCATGATTGCCTGCAGATGTTGGAAAATTGGTCCCAAAATAGTCATTGTGGAAGACAGTGCTGAGGGGAGCCAGATACAACCACAGACTGAGCTTTAGGTTACCAAATAGTCACATACCGAATGGGGGTAGGCAGAAGCAGCTGCAATTTTCATAACCCATATCACACTGGAACATGGATTCCTTAAAGTAGTTACTAGACATTTCAATGGACATGTATGTGAAAACTGTACTCAAATCTATTAACTGGGGGTTAAGGTTTAAAATGAGCCGTCTGTACAAACCAGAGATGCAATGCTAATCCCCATGTCTTGATATATTCTTGAATAATACTTTGTGTATGTTCAG